TCACCTACCAAGGAGATTTTTATTTTGTTTTGAGACAGGGTTTCTCTGTATAACAACCCTGGCTGTCCTGGAACTCACTTGGTAGACCAGGCTGGCCTCGAACTCACAGAGATCCGCCTGCCTCTGCCTCCCAAGTGCTGGGATTAAAGGCATGTGCCACTACGCCAGGCTCCAAGGAGATTTTTAAACAAAGAGCAGTGAGAACCAATACTGAGGTAACCATAATGTTGTAGGAGCACAAAGAGGGTAAACCAGTTCAGTCCAAACTGTGGGTTAAGAAGAGCGACACATATTGAGAACTAAAATACTAGGAGATCATCAAAGACAGACTACAGAATCAGAAAGCAGGTGAGGTTGAGTGAAACAGCTAGACACTGCAAACCATTTGGCTGGTTAGAGGTCAGAGTTGGAGGGATACAGTAGCAGGAAAACATGAGCAGGTGATGAAGATCTTCAGGTAGCCATCTAAGAAACTGGGCTAGTATTGTAGGCTTGTTTCTTCTCCAGGCTGGAGTGCCATCCCTGCCTGCTGTGTCAGGGCTTGGAGCAGAGTCTGCTGTGCAGCGCTGAGCAGACTTCCCATGAGCCAGCAGGCTCTGAGGATGAGCTTCCCACCCTGGCCTGCAGTAGCAGTTTGCAGTCTCCAGCAGGGTTGTTCATTTGAGTCAAGGCCTCCCCTGACCACAAGGCTGTATTTCCCGTTGGTTCATTTAACATTTATTGAGTATCTGTGTGTCAGATGTTCTAGACCTGGGAATAAAGCAGTAAAGAAAACAAATGAAGGGCTGGACAGATGGCTCAGAGGATAAGAGCACTGAGTTGTTCCTCCAAAGATCCTGAGTTCAATTCCCAGTAACTGCATGGTAGCTCACAACCATCTATAGTGAGGTCTGGTGCCCTCTTCTGGCAAACAGACATACATGCAGGCAGAATACTCTATAGAAAATAACTAACTAACTAACTAACTAAATAAATAAATCTTAGAAAGAAAGAAACTTTCTATTTGAAAGTTAGTGAAGTCTTCTCCACCCATCTCTAGCCCCTCAATCCTCTAGTCCCTAAGGACTCAATATAACTTTCTTCTCCTCTCCTCATCCCCAGTGCAGCTTCAGGTGTGAAAGGATTGTGAGAGATTTCTCTTGCTAGGACTTGTTGCTTGTGGCTCTGTGTTGGTGGCCCCCTTAGCTGAGATACTTTGCTTTCTTACAACCTGAGTGAGCATGTGACTTGTGCTGGAAAATCAGACTCCTCTCTGAGGGCTTCGATGGAGAGCAAGTAAGCCAGAGAAGAAAGAAACCTAACGCACAGCCCACTATTCCCAACAGCAGAGGAGAGAATGAGAGCATCACTGCTCACTGCTGCCTGAACCCTCAGCTGACCTAGCTTCTACCTTGTCCTGGTTTTGAGCCTGATTCTCCTCATATGTCACTTCACAGTGAAGGCTACCTCTCATTCTCTGTCATTTTGGGCTAAGTCGACAGAAAATGGTTTCAGTTGCTTGCAATCAAAAGACTGCCTGGCTCAGAGAAACTAGGCGACTTCTTTTACCCACCCAGCAAAGTTTGACTCCAGATGCCCACTATCCCATCCTGCCCAGTGCTCCTAGGTGTCCGCCCTTTGGTTCTAAAGATGTCTGTGCTAGTAGTGTCAGAGGCCCTTGTTCTCCCACACCTCATGAATAGCAATAGAAACTGAAGAGCTGTGTGGAAGAGGCGAGGAGAGACAACAGCTAGACCTTGTTGCCTAGGCTCTGCTGCTCTCTGATCTTTGGTCTTATAAACCCATTTCCCAACCTTTCATCATTACCATCTTCCCACTGATGAGCAGGCAAGCACTCACATGCAATCTGTAAGACCTCTGTAGCCACCTCTCAGCCTCACTTTCTAGGACCCAGGAAGCACCGAGTGCCAGCCTGGGATGGGCTACTTTTCCCTAAGCACAGACAAAGAGAATGTGATTGCTAACTGTTGATCTCAGAGAGCAAGAGTTCCCCTGCTTCTGCTGGGATGAAGCCCGGCTTTGACTGTAGGGGCAAGGAGCTTCCTGAAGGGAGGCAGGCCATGATCCTGGACCAGCCAGGATGTCCAGGAACTGTTAGAGCTGGGATCATCAGTGAATCTGTAGACATGTGCAGAGGAAGTTTTGGTTTCTTTAAATACTCAGTTGTTCTGTAAAAAGGTTTCTGTTTTAATCCCAAGCATGGGACGTAGAGCTGCTTTTAGTTTATTCACAGCTGATAATAGAGGGGTGTGGTCTTTGCCAGCCTGAGATAGTTTAACTCTGAGGGCTCTAAGAGGGTTTAAATACCAGAACACAGAGAGGAGAAGAGGATGCTTCAAGGAAACCATCAGAGGAGGAAGAAGGCTGCTTGTTGGTTTGCTGGTTTGCTGGACTGCTAGATATTCCGACTACAAAGATTGGAATTGCCCCCAGGGAACTAAGTGTAGAGAGGTCTATGTCCCCTGTCCCTTCTAACCTTCTCTCCTACCTAGTGTCAGGCGGTTGGAAGGGAGGTAGAGGCATAAGGAACGCCAATTAAAATAGATTAAAAAGCAGTACCTACAGGCATGTGAGAGAGTTCTGCATTCACCATCAGGCTCCACCGTTTGAATGGGAGGAGTAAAGCCTATGGACAGCATGCACACATGCTGTGCCTCATTTATCCTTATCCATGGCTCTGTTCCGGGGCCACTTCCCCCCCTTCACTGTTGATATTACTCTGCATGGTCTTCTGTCGTGCCGTGCTTTTATTATTATCCCACTTAATTTCTGTGATGAGGTAGCTTATTAATTCACTGCTTCGTGGATTTATCATTCATAAGTGTGTGCTCCCTATGCCAATAAAACTGAGATGCTGGTCCCTTATTTGACTTACAGGACTAAGGTTGAGGCCATAGGAGAAGAGGTGTGTGAAAGCGCTTTGTAAAGCAGGTACCTGCATAGCTTACGCGACCCAGAGTTATGCCGAGAGAATTCTTTGCCCTTTCTATCCCCATTAACACAACTCCTCAGTTACCTTTCTTTCCAGTCTCTTTACAACTCCCTTCAAAACTCCCTAATGAAGTCACTGTTGTCTTTCACCTGAACCATTACCAGATGTCTCTTACTGGACAACTTCCTTTCCTTCCTAGCCCTTTAAACCAACCATTTTCTTTCTTTTAGATAGCGTGTGGCATTCTAAAATGCGAATCTGACTTGGTGATACTTGCTTCATCTATGGTTCGATGGTCTCCCACCACCCTAAGAATGAACCCCAAATTCCCAACTGCACCCTAGACTTTCACCTGCTCCCTGCATTATCGATTCTGTGCGAACTGTTTGATCTCCTTCCACAACACCCACGTAGCCAGGGCTTATTTATCCTCCAAGCTTTTCAGCTTCAGGAACAGGAAGCCTATCCTGACCTCCATTCCACACCTATCTCAAAGGCGGATTGGACAGCCAAGCTGTTGGGTCTTTTTTTTGTTTGTTTGTTTGTTTTTTTTTTTTTTTAGGCACCTTGAAGTATCTGTCTCCCCCTGCTGGAACACAGGCTTCCAGGCACTAGAAAAACCTCAGTCTAATTTATCAGAACCTAATACAGTTTCTGGTGCACAAGAGTAGTCAAAATACTTTTTTTTTTTCATGGCTGAATAAACAAATCCATCTTCGGGACACACTAGCTGCGGGCTGCTTTTCTGCACAGGGCTGGAGAGTGGAAAGGTATGGGCGTGGCAGGAAGCAGGGTGAACATTTTGGGTCACCTTCCTTCCTCTTCACATCTTCCACTTAATTTTCCCTGGCTAAACCAAGTCACAGTGGTGTCTGTCTTATCCCAGGCTCCTCTAAAGCTTCCAAAGATTGGACGTTGTGAATGTCCCCTGGGACTTCCACCAAAGCAGAGGAGACTGTCTTTGCTAGATGGTTTGAAACACAGAGGAAACCCCACCAAATGGAGCAAGCCCACAGCTTCGCCGATTGCCTGTGCACGTAGGAAGTCTCTATGGTGAACACGGTTCTTTGGTAAGAACCTTCTTTTCCTTGGAAGTTTTCATTATTTTTAATATTAATATAGAAATACATGCTCGTGGTACAATGGTACAGATGATAAAGAAAGCCTTACTGCTGGGCACTGAATGTCCTTGTCCGAGGCAGGAACTTTCCGGAAATGTTCTGACTAAATACAAGCAAGCTCATGTACCCCGCATATACCCTTCACACGAAAGCAGTTTATACTGTTCAATGACCCATGTCTCACTTTTTAAAATTAATAATGTTGCTTGAAAATTGTCCCATATTTGTTTACAGAGAGCTGTGCCTTTCTGCTTACTTTTGTATGCTACTAAATTCATGCATCACTGTTTCACCCAATGGTATCTTTTTCTGTGGATATTTAGGTTAGGCTAGGTCTGGGTCCTAAACAACGCTAAACCATCCCTGGTTGGTTGTCTCAGAGCAGGCCATCTTGAAAGAGCCAGGGTCCTGGCTTTTTCTTACTCAACACACTCTATTTCCTTATCTCTTTCAAACAGATGGGTTACAGACATTCATGCAGTGAGTGGCTGCTCAGAACCTAGGGCAGGAGATCCAGAGCTGAGGATGGATCCACCATTTGCAGCAGCATCTGGAGTCATCCAGAAGACATCTGAGGGTTCTGGAGGTCACCAAAGAAGCAGGCTGTGAGGGTTCGTTTGGTTTTCTTTCCAGCTAGCAGGTCTTCAGCCTGTTACACAGAACGCTGCCTAGGCCTCTTGGCTAAGAGAGATCATGAAAGAAAAAAGGGTCACTCCCAGCAGCTGGTCTAGGAGATAGCAGCAAGGAGGGAGTAGGAGACGAGAAAACTGTCAGCAGGCTCACAAGAAGAGTGAGGGAAATTTGCTTTCCACAGACTTTTAAAGGAACAGAAGCCGCCCCCCCACCTCATCTTTTCCAGTGTGGAGACAGATTTGAGAAAGAACCCAGAGGCAACGGCTTGAGGCAAGCGTTTCCTGTGCTCAAGTAGATTCGAGAAGCCTGCAGCCATGGGGCAAGGTAAGTTAAGGCAGTTCTTGGTTGCTAGGGCTGTCATCACAACATGCTTTTATTAAAGGAAATAGGTTGGTAACAGACGTGACAGTGGGGCGTGTAAGATGTGAGGGGTGGGTAGCGAGGTACATGGAGTGGGAGATATATGAAGGGGGAAGGGAAATGACGGTGGTGTGAGTATGGGTGGTCGTATGGTGATTTTAATTGCAATTATGATGGTGGAATGGTGGTGGTGGTTATCATGCATTTATATCCATAGCCTAGGATCGACATGATGTAAATGGTTACACCTCTGTAGGCTACGATATAAATGAGATACAGCTGGTGAGCCGACTGTTTTGTTTTTTTTTTTTTTTTTTTTTTTTTTTTATGTCAGCTCAGCACAGGCTAGAGTCATTTCGGAAGAGGAAACCTCAAGTGAGAAAATCTCCTCACTGGATTGGCTCGTGGGCAGGCGTGTAGTTCATTCTCTGTACTGATGGTTGATGTGGGAGAGGAGTTAAATAGTGGGTTGTGCTATCCACTATAGGACTAGCTAGTGGTCCTAGTTAGTGTAAGAAGGCAGGCTGAGTGAGCCAGTGAGCAGCGTCCTTCCTTTCCTGCCTCTGGGTTCCTGCCTTGATTTCCCGGGATGACGGACTGACTGTTACAAGATGAAACAAGCCCTTCTTCCCCAAGTTGCTTTTGGCCATGGTGTGTTGTCACAGCAGTAGAAAAGTAACTAAAGGCGCCTGGGAAACCTTGAGGCTGTTGTATCCTCAACAATAGGAGCGGAGGGATGGTAGGGGGTCAGTGAGCGCAAGCACAAGGGACAGAGACTGTACAACCTAAGCCAATGAAACAGACCGAGAGGATGCACAAGCCTTGGGCACCTCCGCTGCGAGTGTCCGCCCGAGCACCAGGCTCATCTGAGAAACTCTCCGCAGGGACCAGTCCATGTTCTTGTCCCGTCACTGAGGGAGCGAACATCGACTGGGAAATCCACTGTGTTCAGATGCTGCTGGGCTGAGAATTCAGAAGTGAAATAAGCGTGACCCCTCAGCAAGCTCACGGGAGGGGTTGGGGGACGGAGAGCAGTGGGTGATGTCCATGAAGTGGGGTGAGTGATTTAGGGGAGCAGACTACTGTGGGATCTGTGGACCAAGCTGTGTGATCTGGGGAGGTCACCCAGGGCTTCAGAGGCAATGCCTCTGGGTACCGGGAAGCAGGGAAGCCTTCCAGACAGAACACGAGTCCAAAGGATTCTGAGGAATAACTTCTGCCACGACGCTGTGGTTATTGTGTGGGCCCCGCATACCTGGGTCCAAATCATGTGACAGCTCACCCTTCCACCCCGCCACCCAGAACCAGCATGCAAACAGGAGGGAGTCATTGCTGGCCTCTGACTACAGCTGAGGCTCACTTTACAAACCCCAGCTTGACTGGAGCTATTTTATCTACTGCCATGACCTGAACACCTCGCTGGTAGGTGAGAGGGAGACAGGATGCAGAGAGCATCGAGGTACCAGGACCGGGGAGGTTTTCCATCTTCAGGTTCAACATGTCAGTTCTTTCCCCAGCATTATGTCATTATACAGCGTCATATATCTGCTCCATCTCTGTAACAGGGAAAGTTTGGAACGTAAAGCTATGTTCCCACTATTTCCCTCTGCTCGTGAGCCCTCAACCGCAAAGTTTGGGGGCCAACATAGGTGGTCCCTGCACTTGTCACAACATGTCCTGGAGCCCAAAGGACTTTGTGTCGGGGTCAGATCATTTCCTTGAAGTAGATCAGACCTTATTCCACACTTACAAGCAAAAGCCACAGCTTTTTCCTCCCAGTAGCTGAGCCGGTGCAAACACTACAGGCTGTTTTTTGTTGTTGTTGTTTTTTTTCTGAGGCCAGAAGAGTACATTGACTGTTCAGGAACTAGAGCTATAGACAGTTGTGAATTTCCATGTGGGTGCCGTTAATCGAACCCAGGTCCTTCTGGAGAGCACAGTCCGCGGTCTTAGCCACTGAGCTAACTCTCCAGCCCCTGCTGGAGAGATTCCTTGATCCTTTTTTTTTTTCTTTCTCCATAAAATAAAGATTGACTGACAGTCTGTCATAATACACTCAGCCATGTCCTTTCAAGTGCCAGGAGATGGTGAGCCTTTAGATGAAAACTCACACTTTTCCTCAGGTGACCTGGTTCTAATCTCAGCCTCGCTCTCCTCATATTTAAGACAAGAGAGTTTGACTCAGTGATCTCAAAACCAGCTCTAATATCAGATTGTGTCCTCAAAAAAAAAAAAAAAAAAAAAAAAAGAATGTGAGATTAGTCATGCAGCTCAGGCGGTAGAGTGCTTGCCCATAGGAATAAGCCCGTGTTCACTCCAAGCACGGCATAAAACACACCTGTAATTCCAACATTTAGAAGGTAGATGCAGGAGGATCAGAAGTTCAAGGTCAGCTTCAGATACATAGCAAATTCGAGACCAGCCTAGGATACAGAGGCCCTGTCTCAAAAAAAAAAAAAAAAAAAGAGGGGTATAAATAGTATGCAAGATTCTATATTTTAATCATTGTTTGGATTTGGAACCAGAAACAAATGTTAAATTTAATGGGCCTTCATAAGTATTTGACATTATATTAATGTAAAATAAATGCAAACATATAAATATGAATATGCATATATATGACTTCCTTCGTTTCCTATAATTCTTCAAATAGAGAGCATTAGTCGAAAGAAAAGAAAACTGAAGTTCAAAAGAGTTGCTTGCCAGGCACGGTGGCACACACCTGTAATCCCAGGACTCTGGGAGGCAGAGGCAGACTGGTCTCTGTGAGTTCGAGGCCATCCTGGTCTACAAAGTGAGTCCAGGACAGCCAAGGCTACACAGAGAAACTCTGTCTCAAAAATAAATAAATAAATAAATAAATAAATAAATAAATAAATAAATAAATAAATAAA